GGTTTTAAATGTTTAATATTTTGAAATTATCACCTTAACCTCACAACACACACACACAAAATTTCTCATAAGTTGATGTGAGAGACTAATTTTGAAGGTAAAAGAATTGAAGGAGCTAATAGCAACATTACTGACCTGGGAGACTAATTTACTAATTTTAAAGGTATAAGAATTGAAGGACCTAATAGCAACATTACTGATCCGGGAGACTAATTTTGAAATATTAAAAACATAAAGGTTCTAACATAAAAAAAACTAGATATAAATGTGTGATGTACCATTTATTTCATTTCGCTACAAAGAAAACGAAAAGTATAGGGGTTTTTATGTAAAATTTGTTAGAGGGTTTTATTAGCAAAAAGGACTCTTATAAATAGTGAAAATCAAAATCCTACCAAACTCCTTTATTACTTCTCCTTCCCGACTATGTTCCGCCGCTCAAAAAAAAAAAAAAACCTTAGGCTTCTCTCTCTTCTTCTTCCTTCCGCCCGTTTCTGCCGCACACACAACAAAAAAAAAATTAATTGGATCTGCATTGAAGGAGGATAGGTGGTGATTATTTACGCAAATATAAGAGGCATTGCTCTTATTGGATGAATGCTATGCGGCCAATTTTTGTACGATGTTATTTAGATCTTATTATATATGATATTCACAATAGGTAGCTGACCTTGTTCTCTTGGCCATGGACAAGTCTTGACCCTAGTTAGGGCTGTCCATCCGGGCCGGCCCGGCCCGGCCCGGCCCGGAAAACCGGGCCCGGTTATTTTAACAAAACCATAAATCATAAATTATTTTAACAAAACCATAAATCATAAATTATTTTAACAAAACCATAAACCATAAATTATTATAAAAAATGTCATAAATTTAATTAATAGCTTGAAATGAAATGACATAAATTATAAGTACAAAAAATGATAAAATAACTTCTTTATTAATAATCGGTAAATCCTTTACAAATCCTTTACAAGTATAAATTTATTTCGAAATTCGTCGCATCACAATAGATGAGTACATCCCAACTAGGTTGGCACCTACTCACCCATATCACTATCATTTGCAACTTTTTTCGAAATAATTTAATTCAAATTTAAAGCTAAGAAAACAAAATTACAATTTTATGAATATTATCTAATCATTATATCTATCTGCTAGTCCCAACTCTTCAAATTTATCTTCAATCATAGCAATCCGTTCGATGCCTTGTGTTCGCTTCTCGTATCTCCACCAATCCTGTAAGCACATCACCGCTTGTACAGTATACGGATCTAAGCATGTCCTGTGGTCGTCGATCAAACGTCCTGCTGTGCTGAAAGCGGATTCCGAGGCTACAGTCGAAACCTGCACTGATAGTAAGTCACGAACCATGGTGGAAAGTATAGGATATGAAACTGATCCATATACTTTCCACCATTGCAAAATATCTAAAGCATTTCCTTGACATCTAACTAAAGAAGCAGAAAAATATTCATCTATTTCAGAAACATCTAATCCTGATGAAGTTCCAGATCCACCAGTTAGTTCAGCTACCATTGCATACCTATCAAAACTTACACTTTTACCTCGACCTGTGCTCGAAGCTGAAGGTGCCGAAGCTGAAGACTGTTGTGTAGCTACACCATATCTAGCTGCATACTCATCATATAAGGTTTGAAAATAATTTCTAATAGCTAAATAATGAGTAGTAGCAGTAAGGGTGGATCCATCATCTAAGTCTATAATCTGTCCACCATACAATGATTGTAACAAACTTCGAAGGCCAATTTCCTTCAAGCATGGATCAATAAGAACACCAATACCAAAAATATGAGGAATAGGCCTAAAATACTTATTAAATTTACTCTCCATTTCAAAAATTATACTTCCAAAAATATCATCCATACGATATTTTGTAAAATTTTTTTGAATATTTAAAATTTGTAAAGCAGCTAAAGTAATAGTTGGATAATAACAACCAGATAATAACATAGTAGCATCATAAAAAACTTGTAACATCTCATTTAATTTACATATAACTGTCCATTCATCTTCAGTTATTCCATAAGCACTACCAGAGCTAGAACTAGAAGCATAAAAATTTATAAAATCATTTATAATTTCTTTATATTCTATTGCTACAGATAACATTGCATAGGTGGAATTCCACCTATGGTCAACATCTTTTGGAAATATTCTATTGCTACAGATAACATTGCATATGTGGAATTCCACCTATGGTCAACATCTTTTGGAATTAGCCTAGGCTTATAATTTTTTCTTTTACAACATTGTTTCCATCTTTTAATTCTCATTTCAGAAACATTATGCATATTAGTAACTGTTCTAACTTTTTCTATCATGGGTTTAATTTCAGAAAATGCACTTTAAACAATTAAATTTAAAATATGACAGATACATCTAACATGAAAAAGCTCACCATGACATGGCAATGACAAAGTTATTTTCAGAAAATCAACAGCTACATTATTATTACTTGCATTATCTAGTGAAAGAGTAAATATTCTTTGATCAATTTCTAGTTTCATAAGTTCTTCAACAATTAAATTTGCAACATTAATACCAGTGTGTGACTCTTCAATTGCAATAAAAGAAACAACTCTTTTAAACATTTTCCAACTTTCATCAATCCAGTGTGCTGTTATACATAAATAACCAGTTTGCACTCTAGATGACCAAATATCAGAAGTTAAAGAAAATTTGCAGTTTAAATTTTTAAAATAAGAAATTATTTTTCCCTGTTCCTCAACATAATATTTTAAAATATCACGTTGACAGGTTTGACGAGAAAATTTTGTAAATGCAGGATAAAAACCATCTCTAAACAAATCTTCAAATTCATCATCTTCTACTAATTTAAAAGGAAGGTTTTTAAGAACAATAAACCTGATTACGCATTTCCGGGCTCGGGCAGCGTCATAATTCCAACTGCCGAGGGTACCTGAAGAGGATGATTGGGAAAGCATAGACTGCCGGATATCACCTTGTAGATTTTGGCCTTTGTTGTGTTTTTCAATATGCCGTTTGAGATGGTTGGTGCCGCTCTTATGATGAGCTTTGAATATCTGGCCGCACAACGCACATTTCGCATTCTGAGAGATGATCCTACCGTGTTCATCCTTGGTGACGTCTATCTTCTCAAAAAAATTCCATACATCAGACCTCGGCCTTTTTGGAGCTCTTGGTGCCGTAGATTCGTCGCCACCAGATTCAGGATTAACACCGGTAGGATGAGGAGTTGTTGTAGGAGGACTCATCTCTGGATCGGTAGGAGTTGCATGTTGCTCTTCATAATCAGACCCAGAAGCCATTTGTTGGAAGTATTAGAAAATACAAAAGATTATAGGATAGTATATTAGTATGAGATAGTATAAGATTGTATAAGAGAGTAGTAGAGAGAGAAATAGATGAGTTTTGTTGTGAGAAAATGAATTGAAACCCCCCCTCTATTTATAGAAGCAGCCCCCTAGGTAAATGACCAAAAAACCCTCGAAAAATAGCCGTTTTTTGACCGTTTTAAGGGGCAAAACGGTCAAAAGACCAAATCTGGCCGTTAGGCCAGATTTGGCCCGGGCCGGGCTGGGCAACGGTCACCTTTGTGACCGTTATGGCCGGGCCGGGCCGGGCCGGCCGAGCCCGGCCCGGCCATTCGAAGCCACAGTGTCTTTTTCGGCACTGTTCCGGGCCCCGGGCCGGGCCGGACGTGGCCTCTCGCCAACGGCGAACCTGCGGGCTCGCCGGACGTGGCTCGGAACGGCGACCGGGCCCGGGTTTTGCCCGGGTTTCCGGGCCCGGCCGGGCCCGGGCCGGGCCCGGGCCGGACACCGGGCCGGGCCCGGGCTCCGGGCTTTTTGGACACCCCTAACCCTAGTGCATCCTTTGATCACCTCCTTTATGTTTAAATAATAATAATAAATTAGCAATTATGACGGTCTACACGTACCTATTTCTATGTCATCGCAGAACTTTTTTTTAATTCTGTAGAAGGAAAACTTCGAAACATCTAGTGTACTAAAGTATTGGTATATAATATGGTTTTATAGGATGGAGCTTAATATGTGTTATATTAATTCAGTATGGTTGTATTAATGGTTATTATATCTATTCTTTAGGTGTTTCAAGTGACTTCGAAGAAGTGTGGTGAGAGTTAAATTTTGGTTTGTCTTTTGAATTAAGGTAAGTGGTGAATTCATGCATAGTACACTGCGTATTTTTTATATAAAATTATATTAATTATATGTGAATTTATTTCGGATAGATTATATCATTTTGTGTGATTTACTCACTTGTTAAATATTGATTCGGAGATGACGCACATGAATATTTGGTATAAGCCTATGCTTATTTTCTTTGTTAGTTGTTATGTATTTTTATATAGTACTAGATTGAGATGAATATGTGGTTGATTGATTTCACTATTGGCTGGCCTTTGGCATTTTTGTATAACGTATTTAGTTTTACGAACTTTGTTTAATTTTCTTAAAGCATATGCATCTCAAGTCAATATACCGGCATATATCGGATATAAGCAAGCTATTAAAACAGGCTCAATGTGTCTTTATGAGGTTTTATTTTAGCGCTAAGAGCCCAAATTTGTGTCTCACTATCCCGGAACCACGGGCTTAATAATTGTGGGGTTTATCGAGTCAACCGGAGTATAAGTGTTGACCGTACGTGTTGAGACGTAATTTTCTTATTTCCATTTCATGATTTCTAAATTTTCTTAAATACTTGCACCAATTACTAGAGTTCATTGATGATTCTCTATCATTCTTATATTTTTGTTTATCTCTTATCGAAATATTTTAGTTTTGCAAAACCAATGTATAATGTATGAATTTATCCACTTATTGAGTTGTGAACTCATTGTGTTGTTTTCATTCTTTTCAGAGATTCAGGGTTAGATGGAATTAAGGATTTGTTAAATTTATAAAACGGAGCGAAGAATAA